CTTCATCATCCATTACTCAAAAAAAAAATGTGCCACTCGATGATGTATTCCTACCTGCAGCGAACTCTTCTGATAAGGGTGTCGTATAAAAAGCGTATAAAGGCTCTGAAGCAATATTGGGAGTTAGATGAATGAAGAGCCCACTCTAACCAACTGAAGTCTACCACTTGCTGTTGAGATTGAACTAATGTAAGATCCAAATAGCCGGCGTAGGTACACTCCACATCCCCAACACGCGGTAGGCGTGGCTGCGTACTTCATTTGAACATGAACTGTTGGCGCGACATTACAATTCAGGACAACTGTGACTTAGTCTTGTATTTGCCAATGACATAATTAGAACTGCCTTAAAATGAAAAGATCCCACCAGCGACACAGCCGCTGACACGTTCAAATGAAATACGCAGCCACGCTTACCGCATATTATGTATATGATGTAAATCTACCAAAAGCAACCTACATCTGTTGCTCTGCACAACACCCGGGGCTTGAACTCCGATGGGTGAAGTACAGGGGTCCGCATGGGTGGGAGATTCCAATGCGACGAGGTGCACAACGAGCGATAGATAAGCACCAAGACCTTGAGTTCACTTGGAACTGTTACAGCATGTCGAGTCAACTAGCCATCCAGATAGCAGTACTCTGCTAGTTTCTCCGCAAACTTCTGAGCAATGTGTACTGGTTCAGTGCGGATGATTAGACGTGTCCGCACGGCTGCGTTTGGCACGACGCCAACCCGTTTGAACCAATCGATTTTCATTAGTTGTTTTCATTTATGCTCTTGAAAACTGGTGGAAATAGATTTGGCGACGTCCGCGAACTGGCATAGTAATTGCTAGCTAGTTGACTCGGCATGCTGCAGCACTTCCATGCTAAACCAGTTATAGTGTAGTTCGCTGCGGACGGTTGGGCGTGTCAGTGCGGCTGCGTTTGGCGCGGTGCCAAACTCGTTCTCCACCAGTTGTTGAAGCGGGCAAGTGACAATACTGTATCATATCCTTCGTATTACTCGTTTTCTACCACTTTTTGTCGCATGCGCTCTTCCTGACACGCCCAACCGTCCGCAGCGAACTAAAGTGTAGATCCTGGTCCGAATGAAGCGCACGTGACACCATTCCCACCAGCACGATGTTGCAAAGTAGACCTCGTGCGCCGCACTACAACCAAATTGTACAAAGTAGACGTTCTTCGCCGCACTATGACCAAGGACTGATCGAGCAAGATAAAGGAATGTCCAGGATGCGCCACGATAGCAAAGCAAAAACTTGCATGAAACACGCAGTCAGTGACAGCGAGCCAGAAATGAGAGGGTGCAGAAAAGCAGCGCGTTTGGCTATGGTTAGGAGTGAGGTCGGTCCATGCGAGAGCGCTGGCGGAGGGCGGAGTCAGGAGACGGCACACGGGGATCACAACCCGTTTGACTCGGCACTTACACTGTTGGGGGGGGGGGGGGAAGAGAGAGAAGAACAACTCTGCCGCGCCTCTGACAACTCCTCTTCTCAGAAAGGCTGAGGCTTAGAGCACAGACGACCAGAGCCGTCGAGGAATAGTCTCGCAGAGAACACTAAGCTTTCAAATACCTCGATTAGGCGAGATAGATAGGAAGGCGCTGACGAGCAGTCCCCCCCCCCCCAGGGCCCATGTTTCCTTGTCGAGACTGAGACTACTGTTACAGACAAAGGAGTAGTCAAGGAAACATTCCTAACTACTGACAACAGCGAACAAACATTAAATCGGATGAAATCGATTACGAAAACCACACGCTGCTAAAAGTAATTGATTGCAACAATTTTTATTCACAAACAGCAAATTTTCATCAGATTCTCTTGATATCACACTTAGGTCAAAACAACTAATTTATCGAATCATACATAAATCTACAGGAACAGAAACAACCACACCATAACATCTCTGATAAATGCTACATTACAATGCCCTGAACCCTAGAAAAACAACCTGGATAATTCTACAAAGGCCCTCAATCCTGTTTTGTGCCTTTCACACGGAATGCAATATTCATTGACGTTATTGCTATAAGCACCGCAATGTGACTGAAGAAGAACGGTATGAAACAGTCGTAACCGAATTTGTCGATCAGGAACGCCAGCGGCGATCCTGCCAGGACCGACCCGACTGAAACAGGTTAAAGTTGTACAGTTAATTCCACAACTAGACCCGCGGGTTTTTTCTACTTTGCATCCGTGTGCTTTAGGGTTCCGAGGGCGAACAGCAGCGTTTTCGAGGGGCGCCGTACGAACGTATAAGTACGATCGCCTCAGCGTATGCCAAACGTTTTCAGCGTGCCCGCGAAAAGTTTTGATCTACTCGCGAAACGTTCAAAACGCTGGCGTACACTCCAAATGCTAGATCGATATTTAACTTTCCTAGTTGCTCAAAACGCTGCCGTATGCTGACGTACACACAAAACGCTGTGTCGATACCTACACTTTCCTAGTAGCTTCAAACAGACGGCCAGAATATGAACGCAGGCATATATCCGTGATTTCATGGTCGCGTCAATAAACGCTTAAGGCACTGCTATGTGGACACAATAAAAGAACACACTCTTATATAATATTTTCAACACATTGAACGTAGTGGCGTTTTTACTGCGACTCCCGTTTCACTTCCTGCGTCTCCGCGCGCGTGAATTGCGTGCAATACACAAACGCGCGAAACGGGAGTCTTTGTGCCGCATGCCCCTTTACACGCTCATTCTGGTTACTTTTGCGCTCATTTCTACATTGTTCAGTATGAATGATGACTTCTTTTATCTGCATAGATGGATCTGGACAACGTAGAAGATGTAAACGTCAGTTTTGACTAGAAGATGTAAGCGTTCAGTTCTGACCATACATAAATTATTGCTCTCATAATAATTAAACATTTGACATCAGCCAAGTAAACGTGTGAGTGCTGATAGGCTACGGCATAAAAGCCGTTAAGCTGAGAGGGTAAAAGCGGCCCTGGTGGCGTAACGGATAGCGCACTCGCCCGGAAAGCGTGAGGTGCGGGTTCGACTCCCGCTGGGGCACGACTTTTGCCCACAACTCAGCATTCTTGTGATAACTATCAAATTTGTTCTAAATTAACACTAATTATAGCTAGTAGTCTTACTAACCATTGTAGTGATGCGGAGCTATCACAACAATTAAAATAACACTCAATTACTGACTGTTACTTTGTAATATACTTCAATGAGCAGATTATTTCACGCCATCAAGAACGAAGCATTAGCAGAGCTCACTAAACATATACTAGG